TATTGCCTGCATGTGTATAAGTGCACCCATGTCGTACAATGCCCACAGAGATCAGAAAAGGGTGTCAAATCCCCTAGAACTAGAGTTACAGACAGTTGTTAGTTGTCAGGTGAGTTCTAAGAACCGAACCCAGGTCCTTTGCAAGAGCAGCCAGTGTAGAAGTAGATATGTATAAAATATTCTTTTAATTATTTTTATTTTGTGTGTAGGAGTGTATTGCCTGCATGTGTATAAGTGCACCCATGTCGTACAATGCCCACAGAGATCAGAAAAGGGTGTCAAATCCCCTAGAACTAGAGTTACAGACAGTTGTTAGTTGTCAGGTGAGTTCTAAGAACCGAACCCAGGTCCTTTGCAAGAGCAGCCAGTGCTCTTAACTGCTGAGCCATCTCTCCATCCCCTATAAACTGTTCCTGGGGAACACTTTATTTCCTCACTTTGTCCTTATACTCTTCATTTATTTCATGTGCTAAGAAGTTTCGGCCTGTTTCTTGTCAGTAAAATAAAAAATCCCATTGGGTATGATGGCTGTTTTCTGTAATCTCAGCACTTGAGGGACTGAAGTGGGAGGATTACTACAAGTTCAAAGCCAGCCTGGTTATACAGTGAGTTCCAGACTAGCCTGGGCTAGAGAGTGAGACCTTATCTCAAAATTAAGCAAATGAGTATCGCAATTTAATGAGAACTCTGTATTTCATAATTCTCTATATGAGATGATCTTACCAAATAAATTCTTAATTTTTTTCCTGATTATAAAAGTATTGTGATTATAGGGAGTTACATAATCATTTAAAAATACTTTATCTAGGGCTGGAAAGGTGGCTCAGCAGTTAAGAGCACTGATTGTTCTTGCAGAAGACCTGGGTTTGAATCTCAGCACCCACATGGTGGCTAACAACCATCTGTAACTCTAGTTCTAGAAGATCTGATGCCCTCTTCTGTTCTCTGTGGGCACTGCACAACACGGGTGCACTTACATGCAGGCCATACACTCATACACATAAAATAAAAATAAATAAATCAAAAAAATACTTTATCTTGGGGCTGGAGAGATGGCTCAGCGGTTAAGAACAGTGACTGTTCTTGCAGAAGACCCAGGTTCGAATCCCAGCACCCACATGGCAGCTAACACCTGTCCGTAATTCCAGTTCCAGGAGATCCAACAGCCTCTTCTGTCCTCCGCAGACATTACATGACATGGGTGCATTTACCTACATGCAGGCAATATACACATACACATAAAATTAAAAAAAAAACAAACTTTATCTTATTTCCTTACAAACATATTTTTTATACTTTTTTTAAAGACAGTAGCCCAGGATGACCTGGAATGCTCTATATAGCTAAGGACTACCTTGAATTACTTACTGTTTCTCCTTTATCTACCTCCCAAATGCTTGGTTTGCAGGCATGGGTCATCATACACAGTCCTAGACTTTTGAAAAACATTTCTACATTTGTATAAAGCTCTCTTAAAAATCGTTAGTAGTAGTGACTGGAGAGATGGCTCAGTAGTTAAGAGTGCTGACTACTCTTGCAGAGGACCTAGGTTCAGTTCCCAGCACCCACATGGCAACTAATAACCACCCGTAACTCCAGTTCCAGGGGATACAATGCCCCCTGACCTCCATGGGCATTGCATGGCACAGGTGCACTTACACACATGCATATACCATACACATAAAAAAAATTAAAAAATTATTAGAAGTAAATGAATATGAAGTTATTGATACTTTGTCTGTACTCAGTTTGCTAGAAGATTCTTCATGTTTAAACTAATTGAGAAACTGTAGGATAGCAGTTAGTAAAACTTTCTGAAGTCACACAGTCTTAATTCTATAACCTCCTAAGATCAGGGTTTTCCACAATATCCCCTTCCTACCTGTAAAACTGCAGTAGTATACAGATTGTCTACCTTACATGTCTGGGGATTAACATGTGTATGAAGAGTTTAAAGCAGTACCTGGCACAGAGTAACTGCCACATAGAGTCAGCTATCCTTACTACTACGATTATGATATTTACATGTACTAGAATGACAACCTCATTTGTACTTGTCATCAAATTACTCATTTTTATGAACTTCTGTAGATAAGATTTTCTATATATAATTAGCATACAAGTATAACCTATTTATGGAGTGCCTAGATAATTTCCACATCTTTTGTTTAAAAATAGTCTTATGTAACAGAATTTTTTTAATTACAGATGTTGGCTTTATAAATCTTTGTTGCTCTCCTTTGTTAATTATGTGTTGGGGTATGGGGAGGATTAGATTTCAGAAGCAGAGAAAGACCTTCTTTTCAAGCAGTTGAGTGGTAGGATACAACTTCTAAATAAATTACACCCGGAAGCTCTGGATCTAGAAATGCAGATGGGAAAGCAAAAAAAAGAAATTGCTGAAAAGCAGAAGGAGATCAACAGCCTGCAAGTAGCTGTAGACAGCCTGGACTCCCAAGACCCAAAGCACGTAAGTAGCTAAGAGATGCCAACTCGTTCTGTGGAGAAAGGAGTATCACTATATGTAGAGAATGCATGTCTCCTTTTTAACAACAGAATCCTTTCTGAAAGTCTCTTGATGCATAAATTTTTGTGATATATATATACACACATATGTACTTAAGTATTAGATGTAAATATATGCTACGTATTTATATGAAACATGTCCAGAATAAAGCAATTTAAGGTCTGAAAGTGGTAGAATTCAGTGGCTGATGGCTGTAGGGCACTTTTTTTTTAAGTGGTTGAGTTTGATTCTGTTTTAGAGCAAAAGAAACTTGTTTCAAGATGCCCTATAAATTTCTCCTTAAGAGCAAAAAGAACTGAAGGGGTTCGGAAGCCTTTTTCTACTTCTTTAATTCTTTATGCAGATACTCCACAAAAGCTATTTGCTGTTTCTCTTCATTTTGTCCTTAAAAGTAAAACGTTTCTGGAGTGTCTTCCTCCATTGTGTCCAGATCTAGGCAGGTGGCTGAGTGATTGTTTCAGACTCGTGTCTCTTCCTGTCAGTCAGCACCGAGGATCTTACTGATGGCTTATGTTTTAGCTAGCATTCCAAAATAAGTAAAAATATTTTTTCATGCTTTCCTGGTTAAGTTTGGATTATAAAGTTATAATTAAGAGCTAAGATCTGAGCTGGGCATGGTGGTGCACGCCTTTAATTCCAGCACTTGGGAGGCAGAGGCAGGTGGATCTGTGAGTTCTCAGTCCTGGCACTGGAGAGGCAGAAGAAGGTAGATTTCTGTGAGTTTAAGGCCAGTCTTTTTAAAAAAAAAAAAAAAAAAAAAAAAAAAAAAAAAAAAAAGCTAAGATCTCTGGACAGTAATCAGACTTTAATGTGATAAGGACAACACACCATAAGTGCTTTAAGTACTTGACAAGTTAATTACTCTTTAAGCATTTTGGTATGTATGCACAAACCTAGGTAATTTTGATAAAGGATAACCATATTATCCTAGCTATAAAATCTAATAATAGCCTAAGGCTTAGTATTTTCACTGAAAGTCTTGCTTTATTTTATTTCTGCATGTATGCACAAGTATGTAATATATGTAGTGTATGTTTGCATTTGTGTGCATGTCAGGTGCATGCACCTGCATATGCATGTAGAAGCCAGAGGTCAACATCAGCCTGCTAGTCCTAGCCAGAGTCCATGTGCTGCTCCTTTCAATGCTGTGGGCTTAGTCTGAGTAGAACCTCAGTTGCATGTTTGCTTTTAGCAAATAACTGTGACATTCTTGGGAGCAGTTTAATTTTCACTATATTCCTGTAAAGAATTAGGTATAGGAGGGGCTAAATGTGACATAGGAAGGGTCTTTTTGAAGGTAGCTAAAACCAACCTGTTCAAGTAAGAATGAAGCTTACAAACTAAGTTTTCTGGTTTTGTTAAACTAGTCCTGACACCAGAGGACATCTTTTAAATTTGTTCACCTCATCTTTTTCATGAAGTTTATTGGCTAATGTTAGGCATCTCATTTTAGGCTACAAAATGTGAGCCTCTTAGCAAAAGAAAAAGGAAAGTGGGATTCCTGAATACTTTCTTTAGATACCAGTTTTAATTGATATGTATTTTCTAATCATATGCAGTATCTTTCTGAGTAGCAAATAGAATTTAGATGTAAAGGCTTGACTGATGAGCTCTGGCAGGTTCCCTGAGAAGTGCCCGTCACTGTCTCGCCTTGTGTGGGAGTTTGAACGTGTTGGTCAGGCACTTGATCACGCCACACACCCAAGTTTGGTGGCTTCTTCTTTTTCAGTTTGCAGAGGATGGAAATGTGTTTAGAAAAATTATGTGATTGGCCCCAAACCATTGCTTTAGGAAGAGACAGAGCCCTTAAGCTGCTACAACCCTCTCTTCACAAAAGGATTAAGTCTGAAGAATTTGTTTTAAAATTAGCTCAGAACAAGCCTAGTCAGGTTTTTTAAATATATATAAGCATTTCATTAGTCCTCAAAAGGGAAAAAATGACATTTAAGAATCCGATCCCATTTTAGTTAAGTTGTGCCTAGCCGTAGGAACAAATACCACCTGCGCAGACATAGTAAAGATCTGTGCTGTGCTCATAGAGGGAATTAGCCTCGAGATCTTTGCTGTGTTTGGGCGTGATTGGCCCTCGGGAGCTTCCTGTGTTTTGATTTAAAGATCAGAAGGCGGGGCCTCCCTTCAGAGGCTGCTGGTGACTGGACGGCCTGGGCTGCCACTCACTCTTGACCAGGACCGTGGTTTGAGGCGCTGGGAAGTTACTGAGGCACAGAGGTATTTGCAAAAATGTGCCTGTCAGAGAGGGAGTTGCACATGAATTTGAAGACAGAATTAGAAAGTTTTCCGCCCACAATTTCTCTGTTGTCAACAGTCGATTCTAACAGAACAAATTCGAAGTTAAGGTATGATCATTTTCTCTCTCTACAAAGAAAGGACTTGGAAGGAGGAGGAGTCAGATATGTAAGTTCCTGTTTTTTACAATAACTCTTTTGTGAGCTCCACTGTTGTGAAAAACCACAGACTCTACTGTTGCTCCGGTGTGTTTAGTGCACATCACTGACATCTTGAACCGCATGTTTGTTCTGCATATAAAGGTTTCAGTGGAATTTTTAACTGAATTTTAAGATTTGTTGATTTAGATATGAGTACAGTAGTTTTTCTTTCTTGAGCCATAAAATTCCTTTGTTTACTGGAGGATATAACCTCTTATCAACAGTAATTAAGTGTCAAAAGAAAAACCATTTAGGAAACTAGAAAATTTCCGATGGGTATTTTGGGAGTGTAGGGAACAGATTTAACAACCCCATCAAGTTTACTACTAGTAAAATAAAAGCTTTCTGATGATGCTCCCATGCATTTCTTCTTCAAAAGTGTAGAACATTTTCTTGCTAGTATTTGAGGGAAGGAGACCTCTAAAACAGCAGTGTTCTTTTATGATCATGTGAGTCTTGCACATCAGAACCGTGGCATTTGTTCACGCTGACACCGTTCTGGTGACTTTTCCCTCAGGTCTATTCTTCTGATACTGTGGGTTAGGGTTAGTCATGGGGATAAGGATGGAATGACTGTGAGGGGAAATATCTCTAGGGAATTATTTTGTCTCCATATGAACTGTTGCCTAAGAAGACTCAGGTAAGTCATTTGATGGACCTGAGACTCAGGTTTATCATTTGTGAAATGAAGGCTTAGACTAGATTGATTATTGGTTTTCCAGCACACCTGGGGAAGATAATCCACTCCTTTGAGTTAGCAGTAGCTCTTAATGCCATAATTGTTAGGGAGCAGGAGTAAGAGTGTGAGGTGTGTGAGGACTGTGTTTTCACCAAGAGCGTGTGTATGGGCTTTGTAAGACCATCCAACTGGATGCTCACCAGGGTAAATGCCCTTTGAGCTCCCTCTCCATTTTCATTTTATTCTATCTAAAAGCTTGTGGTGCATGCCTTTAATCCCAGCACTCAGGAGGCAGGGGCAGGTGGATCTTTTTGAGTTTGGGGCCAGCCTGGTCTACATAGTGAGTTCTAGGACAGCTGGGGCTACAAGGAGACCCTGTCTCAAAAAGACAAAAAAAAAGAAAAGGAAAAGAAAAAAGTATTTAGATGTATGGTTTCATATTAAAAGGATATTCGTTATCTATTATAAAAACTATCTTCCAATCTGAAAGTTTTATAAATGTAGAAAAGCTCATAAACAAAACCCCTTACAATCCTTCTACCCAGATATAATCCTTGTTAACATTTTGGGATATAGTGGAAATTTTCTTTTCCTATAAATATACTGTATATCTGTATGATCGGTGTTCTAGAAATTTTTTTAAAAGACACATTTTAATGCTATGCAACTGACACTGAAATTTTCTATATTAGCTTGCCCTTAGAAAAAAACTAGCTTGCCCTTGGAAAAAAAACTGCTTAACCTCCCTGACCAGCTCAGTTTTTTCATATCTAGTCATCCTGAGGCTTTAATGAGAAACTTGTTTGAAAACTGCAGGGCCTTACTCAGAATAGATGCAGATACCACATTTCATCTTCATTTCTTTCTTTAATAATGTTTAAGGTTACTATTTTTAAGAGTTTAAAGCACTTCAGATTGTGTTATTTTTTTTTCTCTAAATTCAGTCACATATGAAAGCCCAGAAAAGGGGTAAGGAACAACAGCTTGACATTATGAACAAGCAGTACACTCAACTTGAAAGTCGTTTGGATGAGATACTTTCTAGAATTGCTCAGGAGACTGAAGAGATCAAGGATCTTGAACAGCAGCTTACTGACGGTGAGAATTTAAGTGTGATTTAAGGTGAAGAGTTAACCAAGGAAGATGATACAGGCAATATAGAAATTAGCTGAATATAGTTCAGCTGTTGGTACTAGGGAAATTTTGCAGAATAGCCCACAACGTTTGATAAAATTTAAAAAATTTTATATTACTATAGTTTGTTCCATTCAGTCGACAAGAAGACAGTACATGACTAGGACAGACTTGGTCATTTGGCTGTCTTCTATGAAATCGGGAAATTCAGTGTCCAGTTACAAAGAGTGTAGGAAGAAATTTATGATCCTCTTTTGCTAGGGAGATTTGAATAGGGACATTCTCACAGTAGAGAAAGAGGAAGGGGACTGGCTATAATGGTGAGAGCTGAGCTCAGTGAGAAAAGGCTCTCAGCCTATTTACCATTCACAGCATCAGCTTGAGCATGTTGTTTCCATCCTGATAATTCGTTGTTGGGAGGCTTAAAAGAGGGGTTAAAAAAAGGTTTTCATAAGATATTCTGCATGGCTGGGAGTGGTGGTGCACAACTTTAATCCCAGCACTTGGGAGGCAGAGGCAGGCGGATCTCTGTGAGTTCGAGGCCAGCCTGGTCTACATAGCGAGTTCCAGGTCAGCTGGGGCTACAGGGAGACCCTGTCTCACAAAGACCAAAAAAAATAAAAATAAAAAAGTATTCTGCATGAATCCATCATACACTTTTTTTTTTTAAGCAGAGTCTCCCTGTAGCCCCAGCTGTCCTAGAACTCACTATGTAGATCAGGCTGGCCTTGAACTCACAGAGATCCGCCTGCCTTTGCCTCCCAAGTGCTAGGACTACAGGCATGCGCTACCATGCCCAGCTCATACACTTTTAAGAATACTTTTCTTTTTAAATCTTCAGCTTATATATTTATGTTGCCAGTCCCAGACTAGTCTCAGGCTTATATATTGGGTGGTTTTGTTTTATATATTCAGCAAGAAGAACTCAGTTTTACTGTATCCTTCTCATTATTTAGAAGTTAAAATGTTTATAATGAGTCAAAGCATTCTATAAATATTTCTCATAAATATATCTGTCTTATTGTATACCTATTTAATATTCCTGTACTATAGGAAATAGGGGAGAAATTGACACAGAAAAATAAAATGTAATTAGAAACTTACAAATTCACTCTGAGCTAATAACTTCTGGGCTAAGACAAAGCAATATTTCTGAAATATACATGATTCTTCTCTTTCCATCTTGCATAGGCCAGATAGCAGCAAATGAGGCTCTGAAGAAGGATTTAGAAGGTGTCATAAGTGGACTGCAGGAGTACCTGGGGACCATCAAAGGCCAGGCAGCTCAGGCCCAGAGTGAGTGCAGGAGGCTGCAGGATGAGAAAGAGACATTGCTGCAGAGGTTGACAGATGTCCAGCAGGAGAGAGATGAACTGGAAATCGTTGCCATGGACGCAGAAAACATGCGGAAGGTATGGTTTGCTTCTTCCTGCCTGTTCTACCTTTTGAAGTACATGATGTTAGTCTTTTTGAGACAGCGTTTTCCGGTAGTCCCAGCTGGTCTGGAACTTGCTGTGTAGACCAGGCTGACCTCAAACTCACAGACATCCACCTGTTTCTGCCTCTTGAGTGCTGGGACTAAAGGCATGCACCGCCATGCCTGGCTAATGTGCCATTTTTGTTTATTTTTTTTAATTTATTTATTTTTTATGTGTACAAGTGTATTGTATGTGAGTGCACCTGTGTCATGCAGTGCCACGGAGGTCAGAAGAAGGCTTCAGATTCCCCTGGAGCTGGAGTTAAGCATGGTTCATAGCCACCATGTGGGTGCTGGGAATTGAACCTGGGGCCATTTTTAAACCTTGAGCTTTTCTTCTTTAGCTATGATGTATTTGGAATCATCATTTTTCCTTTACTAAGACAAGGAAGATAATTTTAGTTCTGTCCCTCAATGGTACTGTTGACACATAACTAAAGAATATGAGATTGTATCTACTCACAGTGCTGTATGAAATGTTTATTTCATTTGTGC